CGCGGTGGGCGCGTGTCCTGCGGACCCGGCGGGCGGGAGGTCACGTGCGCGCTCGTACGACGCCACCACTGCCAGTGCCGGTGCGCGTTTCGTTCTTGAGTCCCAGCCTTCATGCCCTCCTACGCCCTCCACGCCTCTTCCACGCCCTGATCTCCTCCAGCCCACCGCACACCCCCCCCCTTCTCTAAAATGCACCCGTCCTCGTCGCTCCAATGGTTTCTCCTCGCGCTACCCGCTGCCGTCCTCGTCGCGTACTGTCTCACCGCGTTCCCACACGCATCCTCCACTCGCGCCGTCCACCCGTCCCTGGCCACCCTCCCGAATCACTCCTCCAGCTGGGAAATCTATCCTGATACGTTCTATAAAGGTGGAGCCTATGTCAATCTCCCGCAGGGCACAGTGCGTCGCTCGTGTGATCTGTGACTGCTCGTGCGACGCAAGCTGACGCACCTTCAACCCCAGGTCCGGCACTGGCTCATTGGCCCTGAAGACGGCGAACGCGTGAGTCGTCGTCTCCCGCTACCCTCTCAACCTGTAATTTACCCATTGCACATAGATCGTTCTCATTCACGGGCTCTCCGTACCCGCTATCATCTGGAAAGACGTCGCGCCCAAGCTCGTGAGCAGCGGTTTCCGTGTTTTGCTATACGGTACTCTCCCCTTGTCCTCACATTTTCTGCTCTTGATCTAATTGACTGCGTATCTGCGCTCACAGACCTGTACGGGCGTGGATATTCTGACGCGCCCCAGACGACATACGACGCGAACCTCTACACCACACAGCTCGCACTTCTGATGCAACACGTTCGCTGGGATCGTGCACACATTGTTGGCGTGTCCATGGTGAGTCCCCCCTGCCCCCTTCCTGCCGACTGCGACGCCTCATCACCCTATCTCGCGCCTATCTGTATTTGTCTCCTATCGCCTCCCTTCTGCGATACCGGTCGAATGCTCGCATCTCGTGTTCGCGACTCGTGTGTATGCTGGGTAATCTCCGCCATGTCTGGCTTATTCACCAAACGCCACCGACGTAACTCTCTGACCCCTCGTGTTCCGGGTTTGTGTGCCTCCGTGTCGGTGCACTGCGCTATCCTTCGCGCCTGGCACTGGACTGCACCGTTATGCTGATGGATGGGAATGATGGCGACCAGGGCGGAGGTATTGCCGCCGCGTTCAGCGCACAGTTTCCATACCTCGTGTCAGATAAGATCGCGCTCATCGCGTCCAGCGGGCTCATCACGGTGAGCGCGCCTCCCCGCTTCGTTGCCCCGCACAGGCGCTGATTATCTCCGAAATTGTGATGACATGGGCGCGTGGTCGACAATCAGCCGGCGGATCTGTCCCGCACATCCAAGTTCCTCTCGTCTCCGCTCGTGCAGCTGTTCGCGTCCAGTTATCCGTTCCGCGTGCGTCCCCCGTTGGTTTTGAGTTCCGCTGCGTACTAATCCGTCGATTGGTACGTCCCTCAGCGGTATTTGCAGCACCTTGCGAGCAGCCAGCCGTCTGACGACCCCATTGCCGAGGTAGGCCTTTCTTGGACCATTCCTTGATGTACTTTTTTTTTTTTTT